TGTTTACCCAAACCGTTCATACAGCACCACAAGTCGCGATTTATATTTCCAATGTGGTTTGTGATTTGCATTTTAATCTTATAATTTATTGGATTTTAGGTATAAGTATGTTAGGTACAAACAACATAAAGCGCACTGCACCACATTTTACGATGCGGTTTTCTACGGTTTGAGATATATGCGACGTTGCGATTTTGGAAAATACTCAAACCAGATGTACAATTTTGGGTAAATGGGAGAGATGAATGATTACGAGTAGGCCTGTTCATCGGTTGACATCCATTGGATGTGAGGGAAACCGAACCGATCCGATCATCCGTTGGATGTGAGGGAAACCGAACCAATCCAATCATCCATTATATGTTGGATATTGATAACCGATCTGATCTGATTAACATTGGATAACCGATCCAATCCATTCCAATCCAATGAAAGGTTGGATCGGTTCGGTTCTATCAATTGGATACTTTTATTGGATATGCATCGGATATCCAATGGATGATCCGTCGGGATTAGATTCATCAAGTGTGTTAATTCAATCTAATTCTCCAACAATTATACAAATTGATTAATCACTTTTAAAATGTATTAAAACCAACACAAGAGAAGTTAAAAATTCAAAGCCTCACATAAAACAGATTTCGATTTAAGCAATTTAAAAATAAATTAATTGGATAATGGTTGGATGGACAACTGGATGGTCATCAGAGATTAATTGAATGTTGATCGATTCGGTTCGGTTTTGTCGGTTCTGGACTGCCATACGAGAACCAATCTATCCAAATTGGATGTTGATTTTTTCAATCTGATCCAATCCAATTACAATTAGATATCCAATTATGGTCAGTCGGTTCTAATTGGATCAGTTGATTTCAATTGAATCGGTTGATTTTCTACACACCTCTAACTAAGAGACCAATTTATGAGAGAGAAATAACTATTTCGACCAATTTCCCTAAAATAATTGTGTCACAAACCAAGTCATTTTTTTATTTTAAAAAATCATCAGGAAATTAATCAGATTCTTATAACAATGAATATGTCATCAAGTTGTAATAAAACAAGTTATGTTAAAAAAAATTACCAGATAAAATTAATCGTATTTCTAAAACCAGAGGTGATCATTTGCTGGTTTGGGTTGGGTCCGGACCGGATCTAACTTTTTTTTTTGTCCAACATGTCTAATATTGTAAACCCAAGCCCTTTTTTCGGGTTTGACAACTTGTCATTACCCTCCCTATAAACGAGTTAAGCTTGCCCACGGACTAAAGGGACTAAAAAGTGTAACTCTTATAAATCTATAAAGTTGATCATTAGCAATTAATTAACAAATGTATAACCAAAAAGTAAAGAAAAAACACCGTTGCAATTAAAAATTTAAGCAACTAAAGTGACACATAGATCTCAACAAGTGGATAAATAAATGAAAAACAAAATCCAGACTTCCATAAAATCAATAATGCATTCATATTTTTTTATGTATAACATTAATATTCACATTAAGAGGTAAACAAATAACCTCTTAGCGTTTTGGATAACAACAATAACCAAAAAGTCACATCTTATAATTTTAATGATTTAATTTTAAAATATACTAGTATAATTTTGATTAATTGTAAAAAATATAAACGGGCAGGACAGGCTTATTCATATATATTTTTACATTGCTCATGTCCGTCCGTTAATTTTAACAAACAAACCTGGGCCCGCCCATTTTCTCGATAATGGTTGCCCAAGCCTGTATTTTTAACGGGGCGAATGGGCCGGGTTTAACGGGCCGTCCCGCCCATGAACAACTCTACTTAAAACCTGTTGGAAAGTACACATTTGAAACAAGTATTTTCTCGAACAATTGGGAAGGAGTAGTGGCCCATGTTACTTGATCAATCGATATCTTGTTTTTATAGTGCTAATTTATATGAATAAGTCATGTCAGTGTTCAAATCTGGTTCAAGTATGGTAAAAACCCAATCTACTGATAGAAATTAGAGATGCACAAGACCTTCTAAGCCCGTTTTTAGTGAGTGAAAAAAGTCCGGGTTTTTTTAGGCCAGGGCAGGTTGTGGGGTTGAAAAAAAGGCTCGATCAGGTCTTTTCAGGTCGGTCTTTTCGGGCTTAATCAAACCGGATTTTTTGGACCCAGTATGTCAACTATTTTGTGGTCTGGATAGGGTTTGAGACTTGTTTTGGACCAAGCTTTAAGCTCATTAAGCCTAGGCCTTTCGGATCGGACTTTGAGCTTGGACTTTTTGTGTAAGCATAGTTAGGGGATGTTTACCAAATTTTCTGTTAAGTCCTGTATGGAATAAATTTGTCTGTCTAGGTAAATTTGTATGTCTGGATAAATTTATGTTGCTGTTTACTTTTCTATCTGAATCAACAGTCTGAATAATATAAATGACCAATTTACCCCTGAGGATGAAGATATGTCATACAAATAATTTTGAAATAGATACAATAACATTAGAAGCAATGGATAAGCAAACAGAAGCTGTAGACTAATAGATTAAAACAGAAGGAAACATAAGCAATGGAGAAGCAAACAGAAACACAGGGGTTATGGACATGAATCACAGGGGCTATCAAAATCTCTAAAAATCAGGCGCATTGAGAAGCAAAATTGATAGATATAATAGAGAAGTAAAACCAAAAGCAAACAAAAATATCAGGTGCAATCGATTTCACAGTCGTTTTCAAGTAGGGTTCCTTTCTCAAAAGCAAAATCGATAGTATAGTGGAGAAGTAATTACCGATTTAAAGCTTGCAATCGATTTCACAGTCGTTTTCAAGTAGGGTTCCTTGAAATTGATTTGAAGCTCGCAATCGATTTCACAGTCGCAATTGATTTCGCAATCGATATTGACTGATAGACAACGATAGGCTATTGAGAGAGGCGAGAGGCATGTTTTACCCCTGATTGTCTTTTTTTGGGCTTAATGTGGACAAGGGCTATTTTTGATCTGTGCGAATAAGCCCCAAGTAAACACACCATTTTGGCTGTGCGAATAAGCCCACTTATTGATTAAGCTCATTAACCCCCAAGTAAAACACCCTTAGTAACATGATACAAGATAATGATATCAACATTAAAAAGAACTAAAAATTTGTGTGGCGTTTTGGTTTTTAATGACATTATTGGCGTGTGATTAAATGAAAACCGTAAAATAATGTTAGTTTATGACCAATTTTTCGAAAGAAATTTGAAGGTTTTTTTATTAACTATAACTAGAAGCGTACTCACGCAACGCAGCGAGATACATTTCGATTCTAATGCTTCTTTTTTTATATTAGAGTTTTATGAAAACGGTAATGTTTTTATATTTGAATACCTATAAAAATTTCTATCAAAATTAGTATCAAATTAACTATTTCAAAATTCTCAATTTTTGTATAATTTTTTTGTTCCAATTTTTTTAGTATATTTTAATTTAGGTTTAATGACAATGTAATGTTTTTTTATAAATATAATAATTAAGTATTTTGTTAAGACTTAATAATTATATTAATTATATTTTAGATTTTTTATATTTAAAATGAGATGTTTATCTTATATTTTATTATGTTTAGTTACAGATGGTTACACTAATTCAAAAATGAAACTTTAATAACCTAGGCATGGGAATGGTCCCCGACCAGTCTGGGAACTTGGTCCTCCCGCCTCGGTTGGGGACGGGGATTCCATGCTAAAACAGGGATGGGTATCGCACTCCCACCTAGGCATGGTAATGAGGTGGGGACCCCGATCATCGATTCCCCCATCTTTGTCCCCGTCCCCATTCCCGCCGAGGAATTTGATGACATCCACATCCTCGTCGCCAACGGGGAATGGGGATCCTCAACGGGAAACGAATATTTTTTCCCATTTGTGTAAGTTTTTTTAAATCAAATATGTGAGACGCTACGTATGTTTAAATCTCACATTTTCCAATAAACCTAAAAAAAGACAATTTAATAAAAAAACATGCATCATCATAAATAACTAATAAATCGAAAACCAAAAGAAATTAAATTTAATATAAAAATTAATGTCACATATACCAAATATACCGAGTATTATCCAAAACCACATAAGTAGTATCCAAAATATATTGAAATAAAAATTACTATTTACCGATTTAATAGAAAATATAATTTATTAATTAATCTATACTATATTATAAAACATTTGACAAAAACTCTTAAAAACCATTCTTTATGCATGAAGTAATGTTTATTAATGCATATTACATAAAATTTAAGATTACAAGTAAATTGTGCGTAAGTACAACTTATTAAAGCTCCATTTTTGAATTCGTATAACTAACTGCAGATAAACATAATCAAATTCNTTTTATAAATATGATAATTACGCATTTCGTTAGAACTTAATGATTATTTTAATTATATTTTATATTTTTGATATTTAAAAATAAGATGTTTATCTTATATTTGATTATGTTTATTAGTTAGTTATATGAATTCAAATACATAACTTTAAAAAGTTTTATTCATGCACCATTTACTTGTAATTTTGAAATTTAAGTAATATGCATCATTAAACAATAAATAATGACAAAAATGGTATTTTATCAATTTTATTTAAATGCTTTATAATATATTATAAATACTAGTTTTTTTATATTTGTTTTTATAAGACTGTCAAGAAATTTTTAAAAAATTTCAAGAATTTCTTCAAGTCCATGCATTATTTAAATTGTATTCTAATACTAAAAGATCGTTTACCTGGGCAAGCGCTTACCAAGTTACATTACATTCTTGAATGAATATACTAAAGACCAAAAATCTTACATGAAGAGCGAAGGCAAGGACCGAGAGTCTTAGCCATTTTAAACGAGCCGTTGGAAATGTTGATATCAACTTATCATTTGTTGGTTTTAGGGGTTTTACAGAGCAACTTTTAGAAATACGGGGGGTGTAAATGTGATTTTCACATAAATCAGGGTGTATTTGTGTAAATTTAACGGGCAAACATCTATCTCCCGGGAGCCGATGGCTACCATGGGTCCAATATCGGTTCGTATTGAAGTCTGTGTATCCGCAAAAGATACCATCGATAAATCTTGCAGGAAGAGCAGTACCTCAATCAATCAATGACAGAGGACGATTGCGCTAGGGTTTCTATGCCTGAATCCAAACCTGCAACCGATTCATCTAACACGAAGCAAAGGTATTCGATTTGCTACATTCTAAACCCTAGTTTTTGCTTTATTGGCCGTCCAATTGGCAAAATTTCCCATCGAAAGCGTATTTTATTATCTTATTATGAATGTAATTTTATTTTATTGTCTAATGTTTATTGTTTATGCTTATCGTTTCGCCTGAATGGTAATAGTTATTTAGGGCTTACCTCGGTTTATGGATTTATATCGTGCATGCAACAGTAACATCAACTCTGTAGTCATTAGTCGCATGATAGAGGAGATGATGGTGGGATTTTTGGGGAAAATTTGGAAGATGATTGTTATGGTTTGGTGGTTCTTTTCATGGAACTACTGTAACAGCAAATGAATTATTGTGTGAATATATGGGAACGAGTTCACCCCTTCTAAAATGGTCGTTACAGATTTTTTCAGGAACATATAGAAGAATGACAATTGTTACCTCTAGGTAGAGACCCTTCTTACTTGGGCGATGGTCTTTGTGATTCTGTATTTCTGCTCTGGCTGTAGTCAATTAGTTTAAATTTCAGATTATTTTATATTGTAATATCCATGTGCTATGTTGTTTTTTTTACTGTTACTTGATGGTTTGGCGCCTGTAATTTGAACATGAATGTGAAATCTGCCGTGTTGAGTTATTTCTTGCTTATATGGAGTTATATCTTTTCATTGGTTTCATTGATATATGTTGTTTATGGTAAGAATTGGTTGGAGTTATGTCAACCATGTCAAAAGAGGAATACAGTAAAATAGCTATGGCATGTTTGGCGAGCAAATATATTAGTAAGGGACCCCCACATGTTTGTTGCTGATACAAATTGGATTATTGCCGATCAACAGGTTCACTTTAGTTGACATTAACCATAGTGGTATAATCTATATCTTTTTAATCTAGCTAGGGTGTATGGGCACTGCAAAAGTAATCAGTGCATCTTTGTTTATTAGACCGTACTTGATCCCTGTTCACCATTGTTTTTGGTGTACTTGCATACTTCTAGATTTTTATGCTTAAGCTTTAAAGTAACATTCATCTCAAGTACGGTATTGGTGGATTATTTTTTTTTTTGCAGGAAAAAGAGAAAGTGGGATCAACCAGCTGAGTCCTTGGTTTCAGCTGGAGTAGCAGTCCCTGGAGTCCTTCCCCTGGGCAACATGGGATCTTTTATGGGGATCACACATCCTGGTGTTGTTCCAGTTTCTAGTGCTTCTCTGATAAATCATTTTACTGCTAGTTATGGACATTTACAGCAGGTTCTGGCACCCTCCATGCAGCAGCATGCTATTTCACTGGCCCAAAAGATTCAAGTAAGATTCAAAAGGGAGGTTTTGGTTTTTCTTCCATCTGTTGTTTTCATAAGTAATTCATTGTTGGGACTTGCCCAATATAAGTTGGTCAAAAGATTAATTTTACAGTGGCCATCCTTGTTTGGATTCCTGTTAGCATATTGGATATATCATGCTTGCCATATGTTTATGCAGTATTCACTATTCCATCTTATTAATGTTCATTCGGCTAAAAATAACTAGGAGGGGCTTAGCTCCAATTGTATTATCCCACACTTTATAATTTAGATATCGTGGATTCAATCCCAATGAGGGAATATGAGAAATATGTAGCAAGTGAAAATAAGAAGAAAAACTAATTGGCTATTGTCAAATCATTTGAAGGAACATCCAGTAACTTAAGATTATGTGTAGATGGCTACTGTGTTCTTAAAATTCTTTTGAGAGTCCCAGACATGATGGAAGTAATTGGTTGCTAATTGGTAACTATTATTGTGAAAGAATTGCATGGGAGAGTATTATGGTTCAGGAAAAATATTGTAGTCAATTATATATATATATATATATATATATATATATATAAAGTTGCTTAAAATTTTAATTGTTCCCGTGCATGTATACGTGTGTCATTCTATTTATCATGCTTATATATGAGCAAGGTTCAGGTCTTGGTCTTCTTTTTAAGCTAGCAATGATGGAAAAATGTAACTTTTCTTCTTTTGTCATTGTAAGTATGCATTAACTGCACATCCTTCTTGTAGCCAAAGATTCAAGAGGAGTTGATAGCAAGAGAAATTGTCATTAATGATGCAGAGTCGTCTGTTCGCTATAAGCTTACCAAACGCCAAACGCAAGAGGAGGTGCATCTATCTTCTACTGGTTTTATATATTAATAACCAGCTAAAAAGCTGCGATATGCATGAGATATGTTCCTATGGGTAGACTTGGATTTGAATTTTTGTTACTTATCACTGATAGGGTGTTATAACCTTTTGCAGATTCAGAAATGCACTGGTGCTATAGTGATAACAAGGTAATTAGCTCACCTAGGATGTGATGTCTTTTTCTTCTGTGTTCGTTGTTCATATGATGATGTTGAAGATCTCATGCAGGGGTAAATATCGGCCGCCAAATGCACCATCTGATGGTGAAAAACCATTATATCTTCATGTTTCTGCTGGCACCCATGTAAGTTTGTTTTTTGTTGCTTTTCTCTTAGGGGCGAATTGTGAATTGCAACTAGTTTTCAAGTTCTTCAGATTTATTCTTTCTAATGGGAAGAATGCTGATTTTGGTATTTTGATGGTTATATTTTTCTATGGATGAAAAAGCTGTAGCAAATTAACTATTTGGTTTGCTGCTGTAGTTGGAAACAACAGCAGACAGGATAAAAGCAGTTGATCAGGCAGCTGCAATGGTAGAGGAAATCCTGAAGCAGGGTGCTGTCACTAATGGATTGAAGGTGAAATGGCAATTGGTTACATATCTGAAGGGTACATTGCCAAAATGATTTGACATATGATTCATTTTTTACTCTATGTATCAGGTGATTCAACCGTTTAGCACATGTGTGTATGTGGGTTTTGAACCAGATCCCTCCTTGAACATTATTGCTCGGATTCGTGGACCAAATGTGAGGTTCTCTCTCTCTCTGTTGCATGCACATCTTATAGTGATCAGAGTTGTTTTAATGGATTTATGTAATTATGTTGATGTTTATTGTTGGAGTTTGTGCATGCTTGTTATTCTTCTTGTAGAAGATAGGAAAGCACGCAACCATTTTTCTTTTACAATGTGTGTGAACACAGTACACATTAATCTAGTTTGCAAATCCTGTAAATATGACAACCAGTCCTGTCTTTTCTGTGTGACCATAATTAATTGCTTCATTGTTTGTTCTTTACTTTTATTGCATTAATCCTTTTTTTGTATTTCATTTTGTAAATTTTATGAAGTTTTTGTTACTCATGACGAAGATGAAAGATTCTAATTTTGAAGCTTTCCCTAACATCTCCATACGATTGGGAGAGTTTTTTTTCTTTTGCTTCTGGTTGGGTTTTGTACATGCAGGATCAGTATGTAAATCACATTATGCATGAAACAGGATCAACTGTCTTGCTAAGAGGACGGGGTTCAGGAAATTTGGGAAGTTTAAATTCTGAAGGTAGTATTTATGTCACTGTTAGGATGTCCATTCTTTCTATTTCCTAAATTATAAGTTCCCTATGCCCTTTAATTTTGGTTGCAGAACAGCAGCCGTTGCATCTCTTCTTGTCAAGTAATAATCCTAAAAGCCTTGAACATGCAAAGCTTCTGGCTGAGAATCTTCTGGATACAATATGTGCAGAGTGTGGTGCCTCTAGGTACTATGTTGAACATGCTTTTGTGAGTCATGGTGTGTGTGAACATGAATAATTTCAGTATTTAATGACGGGATTCACTGTTCTAACCCAGCATGCAGTATTTCATGGTTTTCCTCCTTTTTCTTAATACACCCTCCGTTCCAAAATAAGTTTCTACATTTCTAGTTTGTCCTATAATAGGTGGCCATTTTCAATTTAAGTGCCTATTATCCAATTCTACCTTAATTATTAGATGGGGAAATTCATCACTTCCACTATTATTAAGGGTAAAATTGTCATTTAGTTGATAAAAAAATGTGCCTTTTTCATTGTGGACATCTATTTTGGGAGGGAGGGAGTAATTTTGAACTAGTTGACATGGATTAAGCTTGATTGCATACCATGAGGTCCCATTTACCAAAATGATTATTTCTGACTACCGTTTTACTGTTCCAGGGTTTCATCTTGTAAGGTTTATGGCGCTGTCCCACCACCACAGCACTTGTTGGTGGGAGTCCCGAATTCTGCAGTTGGGTTGGAAAACACTGCCAAAATAACTGCCAACTCGACATCATCGGCTGCAGACTTCATTCGACCCCCATCAACTCCTTTGATTACATCGCCTGGCCCTACCACTGTTCTTTCACATGGGACTGCTCCCCAGAGTCTGGGAGGCTTGAATCCCGGGATTAATCCTCAATCGTCATTAAGCCATGGTACGAGCTACAATGGGTATGGTGGGATATATCCACAAGCCACTCCTTTGCAACAAGTTGCGTTGGCCCTTAGGCAATCCACTTCTCCTGTCACTTCTACTGTTTCTTCTACCCAAAAAGATGGAAATATAACTGCAAACGCCTACTCTGAGAAGGAAAGACGTCCCCCCCAAAAACGGAAGTTTCAGGAACTGCCTGTTGCTGCAGAAGGGCCTGTGAAAACACATCAGGTATCTGTGCTCTCACCCTGTAAGTATAATAAAATTTTGGCTTTTCCTTTTTGTATTTAAGAGCTCCACAAAGATCACACTCGGTGGTTGTTTCACTCCCTGAAGAATTTGGTACCTATGGCCTGAAATTGCATTGTCGATAGAGGGACCTTATAAATTACTTTCAGATAAAACTATATTTGAAATTTGTTCATCAGAAATCTCCAAGCACCTATTCATTTAGAGTGTCATTCTATAATGTACAATCACTGTAAATTATATTTATACCCCTCGTAGGTTCCCCAAACCGAATTGATATGTGTATTTAATGCCTTTGTGTGCCACTGTGCTAAAACATCCTGAAGATTGGAAACGTGAAAACACAAAAAAACGAATGAAAAGGTATAACAATATGGATGTCAAATTAAAGAGAATAAAATTCTGGTTTTTGGTATAATTTGTTTCGCCCCAATTTTGGTTATATTTCGCCTATTTTCGAGGGTAACCACATTTATGATCACGTGTCTTGGATCAAATCAACAGGCGGTTTTCAGCCTTTTTTGTATTCTCATTTGAGTCTTTCTATAAATGGATTATTTGGGTTCTCCTTTTCCTTTCACACATGCACATTTCTTTGATTAGCCAATTCTTGGTATTATTTTGGCTCTGACTTTGTATCACTTAATATTACAGGTATTTTCTCTGACCTTGTATGAAGTTAACAGCTGATAGTGGACCTGTCTATTGGACATTTGTATTTTCACAGGGTTTTCGAATGCGTAGGCGGCCCGAGACTGGTGCTGCTTTGGTGCTTTTAATTCGACTTTCTCTGCAGTCCACTCTATGCATAATTAATTGTCTATCTGAAATTGCAATCCCAACAGGCATGAAAGCGCAAATCACCTTACGTTTTCAAATTGAGTCTTCTTTCTTCTGAAGATCGAGTAGAACACATCTGCACAAGAAAGCATCCATGTGCATGCTAGATGCTTTTTTACCTTTAAACTGCACCAGTTGGCTTCGGCCATCAAAGAAAGCGGGAAATCGTAGGTTTTGGTTTGACCAATAGCCAAACCAGATCAAACGTATCCGTACCGTATATCCCTACTTGGAAGTAGGATCTGGGGAATGGTAGGAGCTGTTTGGTTGGTTTTCCATCAAGTCCTATATGGATAAAGATGTATGCCTGCATTAATCTGTCTGTATAGATTGGGAAGGTTTTTGTTTGGGAGGGTTTTTCATAGATGGAATAAACTTGTTTTTTAATCGGAGGGGCAGGTTTTGGAAAAACTTGGTTTTCTGAATAAAGCTCCCCCTAATAGCTTACTGAATAAGCCACTTTCTATATTATTAAGCCTCTACCTAACAGTCATATATAGTTGACCCAATAAGCCATGAGTCCCATTAAGCTGTTAACAGACAAGCTCCAAGTACATTTGCTGAAAAAAATGTTAGAAGGGAAAAAGAGCATAGAAAATCTAGACAAAAGTTTGTTATTAGTTACTTCAACTAGAAATGGGCTGTTTATGCTACTTCCGCTTGCATTATTTCATGTGCATATGCAACATAGACGATACAACTACACAGTTTTGTTGCAGATTAACAGCAACACGACGCCCGTGTTTCTTCAATTTCATGTAGTTTGCTCGTTTCGAGCTGTGCTTGCATAATTATCAAGTTTTCAAAGGGTTCAATTTCTTTATTTATTTTATTTTTTATATTATTGATTAAAATTGATCCGGGAGAATCCCTTTGGATTGTCTGCTTATGACTTGCGCAGACTAACCCAAGGATGGTGTCATCTATGCCAGCTCCGGTGAAGCTGGTTCAGCCATCGTCCAATGGAATGATGCCGCCCCCTCCACGGAACATGCCCCCACCGCCTCCAAAATTCAATTCACCGACCACTGTCACAAAGGTGCTCGAGGGAAATAACGCAAACAAATCAGAAACCAAACCAGTACCTGGTAAGTATACGAACTTATACTTTCTATCACTACAACAAAATCGGCTTTATAGGTTGTCAAATATGTTAGGTTGTTTTAAGGACTTAACAATTGTGCGTCATATGTAAAGGTGTTACAATTAGGGGTGTAAACGAGGCGTGCCGAGTCGAGTAGTAGGTTATTCGAGCTCGGCTCGAAAAAAATTACCAGTCTCGAGCTCATTTCGAGCTCGTATAACTTTTTCAATGTAGGGATCGAGCTCGAGTATTGTTTGAGTTATCGAGCTCGATTCTCGTTTATGGGCTCGAACCCACGGTCGACAAACTCGTTTATTGGCTCAAGTTTGATAATTTTTATATTTTCATTGTATGATTTATGAACATATTAGCATGTTCGGCTTGAAAAAGTGTATGCTCGAATGGCTCGACTCAACTCGAAAAATTTAATCGAGTTTCCGGACGAGCCGAGTCAAACATTGGTTGTTATGAAGCTCGGCTCGTTATGTTAAATGAGTTCTATTTTGTGTTCAAGATCGACTCGAGCTCGAGTAGCTCGTTAAAAGCTCGACTCGTTTACACCCCCTAGTTACATTAAGTTGATAAGATGCTTTGGGACATGCTAGCAATTTTTTCGATACATTATTGAAATAAAGTGTTTTGTTATCTTTCTTATATGACATTTTGGTGAAGTGTCCTATGAACACATTTTTTACGTGACGTTTTATTTCAAAAGTGTCATAAAACTTGTAAATGCCCCACAACTTTCTATCAACTTACTGTAACACCTTTACATAGGACGTGCAATTGTCTGATCCTATAAATTTAAGTCCTATAAACCAGTCTATTAGGACATATTTGACCTCCTATAAAGCCAATTTTGTTGTACTGCATCGTGGGTTACTGAATGTAATTACGAGTTCGTCTCATGACCCCCCAACCATTTCAGAAACTTTAATCAGTCTTATGGCGTATGGAGACGAAGATGATGACATCGAGGAGCCCACTGAAGAACCCGTTACAAACGATTCAAAACCATCAACTGCTTCTAAACCTTTCTGGGCCGTGTGAATCTAAGACGTTGGCTTGTATGTAACTGGTAATAACCAAACGAATTACTTATGCACATATACGGAAAAATCTTTCTATTGGAGGCATTAAAAAAACGGAACTTCATTGGAGCTGAACGCCAAGATTTATGACGGACTTGTTATTGTCTCTTGTGTATCGGGCTTCAAAACCGAGAGATCAAGGTTTCGGTAATCTTGTTTGTATATTTTGAATCGAATAACGGTATTTGGAGGGGTGAGTATGCAAACTGTAGGTCAAATTAGGAATGAACTCCATAAATCAATTGCGTTTGAGATTTGAGGCGATATGATTTTAATTGAAGTTATTTTAAAAGTTTTAGGGGCTATTTACCAAACGCTTACCCACTTATCAAGTTACATTACCTTACCGAATCAATACGGCAAGGATCAAAAATCTTATCCGGTAAGGACAAAGGCAAGGACTGAGAGTATTACGTGGTAAGTGATGATGACGACTCTTATCACGGTTGGCATTTACTGGGTAAATTGTTGCATACGATACCGTTTTGATGGACTAAAATCTTACTCGGTAAGTAATTGATGGTGTTGAATTTTGCCCGTAAGCACTTACCCGGATAAGAGTTGGACAAGATTTCTCATAGATCCGTCCAAAGGGACGGAAAGAGAGTGAACATATCAGTTGTCTTTCGGCATTCTTGCTTATATATAGGGGAAATTTATAAAAATAACCGGTTTACACAACCCTTTGCCACAAAATAACCACATTTTAGAGGTTTTGCCAAAATA